TCAAGTATTTTTATGGTGCTTTTCAGTCTTTGAAAGTTTTTGACAGACTTTATTTGGAAATAATAGGATAGAGAAAGATGATTTCTCTTGCCTGCTGTGGAAATGGAAGCCCGTGTGAAGACCTCATCAGCTGTACACCGGGGCTAGGACCCTAAGTTATCTCCCTCCAGTACTCATCTGCTGTAAAATGAGAACACAAATGGCAATGACAGTGACCTTGACCACATTACAGGGTAGAAGGAAAAGAGCCTCCGTGGAGAATGACAGTGAATGCCAATCACATTGAGTAGCCCATTCCTTCTTACATAGTCCTAAGTGTTTGCATAAATTGTTCTTATTAAAGTGTTCCTTAAATATACACACATTAAACAGAAGATACACATTTCTCTTACCTGTGATTCTGATAACAGTTAAAGCAAAAGCAAGGGTACAGATCAAATAAAAACAACATTAAAGTCAAGAACATTAAAATCCTTCCAGTATTGAGTTGATGGAATTGATAACACCCTTTCCTGCATCTAAGTCCTATCTTTTAAGAATATACACTACTGATATTCGGGTTCATTTCAGCTTGATATTCTTATAGTACCCATTCCAAACTCCTATAGATTCAACAATTGCTGATCATCCGCACAGCAGCAGAATTGTGCTTCTCACTCTTCTGAATACTAGAAGATCAAGGGGCTAGCACATCCAGTGCCTCATCCACAGATGGTCTCATTGATGTGTCCTCACAGGATGGGAATGAGCTACTTTCATGAGGACAGGAACACCATCTGAAAGGGCTTTCCCCTCATGGTCAAAAGGTCTCTCTAAATGTCCCTATTTCCTGATACCACAACACCTTGGAAGTAAGTGTGCAGTGTGGAAATTTAGGAGTGTCGTGAACAGTCAGAACGTAGCTCTGTGTATTACATGAAAATTAATTCTCTCCTCAACAAGTCTCCAACCTATTGCAAAACATCGACATACCAAGTCCTAAGTCCACTTGCTTTCAATCCACCCAATCACATCACACATATATTAAATCCGTTTCTGGGATTTGCTTACTGATTTACATGGACAAAATGGCTATATTGAGGCAATACAAACTGAAATAGAGAGAGCTGTGCCGTGTGATGGTACTCTGTTAAAAGATAGATATCTAAGAGATCAGGAAGGATCTTGAATCAATGTTTATGATCAGATTCTATATGAAAATATAACTAAACATATATCAGGTAAGCTCCTAAGGCTTCCTATAAGGTACATGAGGACTCTGTCAAGGTAACATACACTGATAAGAGAGTTATACAATGGAAAAACTACTTTCACCTCGAAATAGACTCACTTACTACTGGAATAACCATGCAGTGAGTAGAGATGAAGCAGCCTAGATCAAGAAGTAGAAAGAAATGTAGTCTCAAGAAAGAGAGTGATCAGGTGGGCTTCTATTGCATTCCATCCTCTTGACCCACCATCTCTTTTCAGACAGTTTTAACAGGTGGGCAGAGTTTTACAAAGCATGGTCATGCAGAGCTGGGGAGGCAGGCACCAACCTCCCACTTGTCAACCAGGACCGAGAAAGTTGTGGTCTCAGAGACTGTGTGGTGAGTCTGTGGCTGCTAGGAAGGGGCTACACATTGTCTGGTCCAAGTTATCACAGACCAGAAAAGTAGAGCGTTCTTAGGATGTAAATCAGAGTCAAGACATTACCTGCCAGTTACTGGGCTCATCCATTCATCCTTTATATGGACAGGCAAGCTTAAGGAGGGCAGATGATTTCAACCTTGGTCAAATGCCAGGAATTATGCTCTAGGGAACAAGGCATTCTGACTTAGAGAGGAGATAAATCAAATGAATGCTTCCTACTGCTTAAGGGTAGGGAAGGTAATGTCAGTATCATTACATGAAGTAGGAACTTCTTTGAATTTGAGCAAACATTTGCTACGTGGTTATTTAAGTGTCTGATGCTTGTGTTGGGATGGATGTCACAGTCTGAATGTAATGGACGCAGAAACAGACAGAATTTTCTTAAGCCCGAGAAAGAAAATTTCAGTCTATAGTGTTATATCCATTTTGCTTTCTTTCAAATTATACAGACTCTAATCCTACATGCAACAAGGTAAACAAAGCCTCAAAAAAAAGCAGAATGGTATTGCTTGTCACAAGATCTACCTGTTTTGCTTTAAACTATGTGTATGTTCAGCAGACAATTTCTCATTTGTCATGTGGAATATTGTGAAGTCAATCAACCTTTTGGATTTGGAGCTTTTCTCCCCTCCCTTTGTCAAATGAACTCAGTACCCCAGGGTTTCCCATCCAGAAAATGTTCTTCAACTGAACAGAGAGACAGACAGAGAGAGAGAGAGAGAGAGAGAGAGACAGAGAGACAGAGAGAGAGAGACAGAGACAGAGACAGAGACAGAGAGAATATTTGGATTTCATTTTTTCCCCTGAAACATGAGCTCATAGGCAAGGCACTGTCAATAACTAAAGGTAGCATCATTAGTCCAGCCTGGCTAGGCAGCAGACATGCACAGAGGAGTGCCTCTTTGAGATCAGACGAGCACAGGGTGATATAGGCATGAACAGGAGTCCCTTTCAGGACAGGTCTTTCCTATTTATAGTCAGGTGAAGGTCCAAGTGATCTATTTCAGACTGAAATAGCTTATTTTCAAGGCAGAGAAATGGAAACTATAGGTCAGAAGTACGTTGAAAACTAAGGGTTTAGAAAGAACATCAGCTATATTTAGACTGGCAAATGGCCACACCAGGAATGCCTGCATTTAGCAAATTCCTGAAAAATGAAGTCATGAAGATATAAAAATATGTAGAGAGATGTACAGACAGCTTAACATCATGGAAAGAAAGTTCAAATTTAACAAACTCGAAAGTCTTAAAAAGATGGCATGCACATATATGTGTACATTTACACACATGTGTTCCTATAGGTGATCATATGGAGAAATGTTTTCTCACGTAGTAAATACATGTTTTCTTAATCCAAACATGGAAGTATATGCCTAGGATCCCAGCGCTTGGGATGGTGAGGGCACAGAACTTTCGGGAATTCAAGACAAGCTCGGTTACAGAGTGATACCCCTGTCTACAAACCAACTAATCATCAATAAATAATGCTGCTCCTCACCCACTCTTCTGGGCACGTGATGAAGGAAAGGACAGGCAATGATGAACACTTTCCAGACTGTTTCTCTTTCATGAAGAGTTAATCTACCTTCATGATTTAAGAAGACAGCAGAAGGACCAGTCCTTTTGATTTTAGAGAAACAACATGGCTTTACCAAGCTGTCTTCAGAACAAATAAGTACTCAGAAAGTCACATTGTCCTGGATTTCCAAAGCAAAAGCTTCTAGGCTTGTGGGGAAGATCAGGAAGTAAGGCGAGTGGTGTCTAGCCTATGGGTAGTCCCAGGCAGCTGATGCACAGGCTGCCCAGGGTCCACACGTGTAGTCTCAGGAGCAGGACAACAGCTGATGAACCCCGATACCAACATGGTGGCTGCAGAAGGGGAGTTGCCCAGTCGTACTCCTTCCAAATCAGCAGCCTCCTCAGCTTCGAGTAGTTTACCACAGTGTATCCCAGACGGGGACAGGGGATTTCCTTCACTGCTTCCTGTTAGCCTGTGAATAACAAGTGCTGTTGCTTAACTCTCCTCCCTGTAGCTACATTCTGCTCAGGGTAGATGGGAGATCTTTCCTCGAGGAAGGACGGACTCCTCCCCAGGAGCCACAGTGTTAATGTCTGCTCCTCTACCACAGTTTTCTCGGACTTTTCAGTTTGTCACCTTGTGCGCTAACAGCAATCCTGACAAGTGACGTGGCAAGGTGAAAAAAAAATTAGGTGGAATACTGTGAGATACTTCCCAGGGCAGTAAAGCTAGCCAGCAATGCAGCACGGGGCTCTAGCCAGCATTGCAACATGGGGCTCTAGTCAGCATGCAGCATGGGGCTCTAGCCAGCAATGCAACACGGAACTCTAGCCAGCAATGCAGCACAGGATTCTAATGCAGTCCCGGATGGCATGGCTCTTTTCAGTATTTGCTTCCAAGCTCCTTTCTGTTCTCACAGCAGACCCAATCTGCCAAATAGCTTGCTTCCCAAACTATGCCACACCATGAGCAAACAGTGCCACATTTTGTTCTAGAAGATCATTGGTCCTGATTGATCTCTGCTCGTGGGCCAGGGGCAATCTGAGTGCCCCACTTCCTCCACCCTCTGGGTGCCAGGCAACTGGCTTCCACCTGCCTTCTCACACAATCCACATCAGCCTTCTTAGTGTCCCAAAGCCCCTGTCCTTTGACAATGACATCATAAGCTCTGATGTCAACAACATATTAGGTGTCTGCAGACAATCTAACTTCAGTCTTGTCTGGATCCTTAATGTAACATCTTAGCTTTAAATATAACCAAGTGTGTAATAATCCACACAAAAGTAACTGAATTAACCATGATGTTGTAAAAGTAACTTGATATTGAAATTGGATACAAGAGAAATATTTGTAATTTATTTTACAGAAAATGTTGACATCCCTTAACATATAAAGAATATCTGAAAATATGAAAGAAAAAGACCAACCATGCTTTAGAAATTTAGACTGGAAACAATTACGAAGACTGAAAGTGGCCACCTATGAAAAGGTGCTTGATTGCATTTTTTTATATTTAAAAAGTGTGTGTCTATATGTGTGTGTGTGTGTGTGTGTGTGTGTGTGAGAGAGAGAGAGAGAGAGAGAGAGAGAGAGAGAGAGAGAGAGAGAATATGTTGCCATGTGTGAGAGTCCACAGAGGTGCCAGACACAACATCAGATTTTTTGAAGCTGGAGTGACCGAGAGTTGTGAGGCGCCTGACGTGGGTGCTGGGAACTGAACTCAAGCTTCTGCAAGAACAGCAAGAACTCCTAACTCTTGTGCCATTTCTCCAGTTCCTGACTCAATTTATAAGTCAAAACTATAAATCAAAACTATATGGAGGTATTGCTATATAATTACCAGGGTTTTATTAGCATACAGTATTAACAGGGAGTCAATATTTTATCTCCCCCCAAATTGAGTCTACATGAGAGACTAGATATGTTTTGTTTGTATGTATGTCAGCATCATCTTAGTAAACATCTAGTCTGTAACCATTGGACACCATGACTAGGAGCTGATGTTGTGTTGTTACTAAGAGTGGATGATTTCCCTTCAGCTTTTCCACATTCTTCAGAATGAGAAAACGTCAACAAATCAAAGGACATTGGTGGAGAAACCAGTGTGATTTCTCTATCCTGAGAGTCTGTTCCTCCAGACGGGTATGAACAGTCATCTTGTCTGCATACAATTCTGAAAAGAAAAAATAAAGGTGATTCCCAAAGCTATTGCAGGTTTTCATTCTTTATCAGTAGACAGAAAGTTATGGTACTGTTCAGCCAAAGTTCTTTAGAGCTAAATGGCCACATATGTAATTCACAGCATTTTGCCTTCCCCATTTAGAGTGTTGCAGATGAGGACAGATTATGAAGTGAGCTTCAATCACCTAGTTAAAAGAGATTTAAAGCAAAATGAGTCGGGGAGTGAGCAGGTGCAATTCTAGGAGTGAATGGCTGCTGACTGTCAAAGACTGGTACCACATTACAGAGGGCTGGAGTCTTTCACAAACAAGCATGGTGGCAATTATTTTGTCTCACAGGTGAAAAAGAAAACATCTCCAGGATATTTATTTTTAAATGTATTTCTGCAGAATTTTCATAGGCTTTTCATATTGGATGACATAGTAAAAGACCTGAAATCCAAATATTGTGACATTTTAGGCGGTCATTATTTAAAATACTTCTAAAATGCCAAAAGAAACATGATGGTAATGAGAAAAGAAGCAGGTTCCCAGAGCCCTGATAAAGTTAAAATAGAAAGATGATCCCTGGTGGGGGGGAAGGTTAAATGGGAATTAGAGTACCTGCTGAAGAAGTGCCATGCCTGTCCTGACTGTCTTTAGGAGAGAAACTGTGCTCCAAATGAACACTGTAACCAGTAAATTTCACTTTGTAGGTTCTGTTCTTTTCCACCTTAAACCTCACCCAACCATGCTACTTGCGAACACTACATAACCTCAAAATGCACAAAGCAGAAACTTTCAGGGCAATAGTCAATAATTAGACACAATTAGAGGTTTCCTGAGTGGAAGGCTAAAGCTACATTACTCCTTAAAACCACACATAGCCATGGAATCAAACCACTGTTCCCTAGCTTCTTCATTCTTTCTGGCATTAGCTTCAGTATTTGTTTAATACATGATGAGACATGCACACATAAATAGCTCACAGCATTGCTGTGTTTGGGACATCAAGGTCTTTCGATTAGGGAGCCTAAATTTCAGACTTTACTGAAGGGAACTCTGAATTCCAGAATTCAACTTTTGAGAAACAAAGACAAGTTTTTCATGTCTGTGTCTTGGTCTCCTTAAGAAGGAGTTTGTTTAATGACTTAATTTGGGTGGGAGACTTAAATGCAACTCAAAATGTGTATTTGCTTTATACAATGGGCAAGTGCTTTGGAGCAACTCAAGACAAGATACAGTAACAGAAAAATATGGAAGAGATGAATTTTGGAGATGAGAGGTAGAAAATAATGGACAAGTGAGCAAGGGTCTTTCCCAATGTGGCTCACTGATGATGTAGCTGAAATTGTTGAAAGAGATAGTGGATTAGCCTATTGTATTCATTCAAGTCTAAGAGTTACTGGGGGCCCATGTCAAATAAGCAGCCCTAGTGATTATAGAACATTCCCCTGAATAGCTATTTTCTTTCTTTCCTTTTTATTTATTTATTTTTATTAATTTATAAAAATTTCCACTTCCTCCCCTCCTCCCAATACCTTCCCACTCCTCGCACTTCCTCTCCTCCTCTCTCTCCATGCCTAAGAGCAGTCAGGGTTTCCTGCCCTGTGGGAAGTTCAAGTTCCTCCCCTCTCCCTCCAGGTCTAGGAAGATGAGCATCCAAACAGACTAGGATCCCAAAAAGCCAGTACATGCAGACGAAACAAGTCCGAGTGCCATTATCAATGGCTTCTCAGACAGCCCCCATGTCAGTCACATTCAGAGAATTCGGTTTGATCACATGCTCCTTCAGTCCCAGTCCAGCTGGCCTTGGTGAGCTCTCATTAGATCAGTCCCCTGGTATTAGTGGGTGAACGCACCCCACGCGGTCCTGCCTTCCTTGTTCATGTTCTCCCACCTTCTGCTCCTCATTTGGACCTTGGAGGCTCAGTCCAGTGCTCCAATGTGGGTCTCTGTCTCTATCTCCATCCATCGCTAGATGAAGGTTCTATGGTGATATGCAAAATATTCATCAGTATGGTTATGGGCCAAAGACAGTTCAGGCACCCTCTCCTCTGCTGCTCAGGGAACAATCTGGGGACCTCTCCTTGGACCTGGGAACCCCTCTAGAATCATTTTTCTTGCAAACCCTAAAATGGCTCCCTTAGTTGAGATATATACTTCCCTGCTCCCATATCCATCCTTCCTCCCTCCCCCCATCCCATTCCCCCAAGCTATCCCCCATCCTCCCCTTCTCCCTTCTCTCTAACCATCTCCCCTTACTTCCACCCCCCACCACCCGTGCACTCAAGTTTGCCTGGCATTCTTGTCTACTTCCAATATCCAGGAGGATAACTATATGATTTTCTTCAGGTTTACCTTCTTATTTAGCTTCTCTAGGATCACGAATTATAGGCTCAAAGACCTTTAATTATGACTCGAATCCACTTATGAGTGAGTATATACCATATTCCTCTTTTTGGGTCTGGGTTACCTCACTCAGTAAAGTGTTTTCAATTTTCATCCATTTGCATGCAAAATTCAAGATGTCATTGTTTTTTACCGCTGAGTAAAACTCTAATGTGTATATGTTCCACACCTTTTTTAACCATTCTTCTATTGAAGGGCACCTAGGTTGTTTCTAGGTTCTGGCTATTACAAATAGTGTTGCTATGAACTCTAATTAACCCAATTAAAAAATGGGGTACTGAACTGAACAGAGAATTCTCAACAGAAGAACTTCAAATGGCCAAAAGACACTTAAGGTCATGCTCAACCTCCTTAGCGATCAGGGAAATGCAAATCAAAACAACTCTGAATAGCTATTTTCTTATTCACACAATAGAGGCAAAACAGTCTTTCAAATTCCCTGCTTTATGGAAAAGTTTGTTGGATACTATGGCCTGTAGGCTGAAGATGGATGTTCCAATGTTATAGGCAGTGAGATATCTCTGTCACTTCTAAAGTTTCGGAAGTTGCTTATAATGCACTTCCTGTTAACTTCGGAAGATTATAATATAATAATATATTATTAATATAATATAATATTAATATATTAATATTATATACTTCTGGGATCTTTGAAGAGTTGAAGACAGATATAGTTTTCATTAGTTATAATAAAGGATAAGTTAGATATAAAACTTTAGAATCACGAAGATAGGATAGATGATAGAGTATTTTCCTTAATTTGCCAAATGTAAATGGACTAAATATTATAACTGTAATTCTTGCTTGATACCTATTTTGTTATATGGAATTTTACTATGCTAAAGTTAAAATGTTCCCTTTTATTTAGAAAGAAAAGGGGAGGTGATGTGGGATTCCCCTCTGTATTCTGTGAATGTGTTGTTTTTTTTGTTTTTTTGTTTTTTTTTACTGTTCGTTAATGAATAAAACTGCTTTAGCCTATGACAAGGCAGAATTTCCAACCAGAGATAGAGGAGAAAAGAAGGCAGAGTTAAGGAGATGCCATGTAGCCGCTAAAGGTGACAGATGCTGGGTGGAAGCTTACCAGTAGGCCACAACCATGTGGAAATACACAGAGTGATAGAAATGGGTTCATTTAAGATGTAAGAATTAGCTAGAAATACGCATAAGCTAATGGCCAAACAGTGTTGTAACTAATATAACTTCTTTGTGATTATGTGGGTCTGGGCAGCCAGGAAGAAACAAGCTGTCTCTGCCTACACTGCTGGCCTGCCCTGTCACCTGGGTACCCTGTCCATTTATGAGATAAACCCCAACCACTCCCAATCTCCCCTTTCCTGCTGAGGTGAGGCGAGCAGATCTCACGCCTTCAACCCATCTCTCACTTTCTCTGCCTCTTCTTTCTCTCCTCCCCCTTTTCTTTCTTCTCTTTTTCTCTCTCTTTGTTCCCCCCTCCCACTAAATAAACTCTATGCCCAAGCTCTCTCTGCATGGTGTATCTGTCTGTTTCTCACCCGCCCTGGTCTCCCACTGGCCAGGGGACCTGCCACGGTCACCCATGTCATGAATGATAACATTGGAGGGTGAGACTCGGGCTGGCTTTGTCCGTGTTTCTTCTGCCCATGGGAAGCATGTGGGGACTCTGGACCTGGACCACTTTCAACTTCCTGTGCCATCTCCATAGCTACAAATGGCAAAGTCACCTTCTCCAAGTCAGTTTTTTCTAACATTCATCTCTGATAATTCCCCATAACTGAGGACTGAGAGCTTGTTTCCCATGTCTTGGATTATAGTCCCTTGGCCATTAAGAGTGGCCCCAGTCCCCCACCCCGCCCTAGAGTTGATGAGCCTAAGGATGGCCTGACCTATTACTTGCTCTGTCTCAAAGATGTTTGCAGACAGCCTTTGGGTCTAATCTCTCTCTCTCTCTCTCTCTCTCTCTCTCTCTCTCTCTCTCTCTCTCTCTTTCTCGGTCCAGAAGTTTGGCCTATGCCTCCCATTTATCTATTGGCCATTTAGCTTTTTTCTCACACCAATCATAGTAATACATTTTCACACAGTGTACAAATATCCCGCAACACCATTCTGCTTTTCTATCTCTCCCACATCTCCATTATAAATTTGTTCTTTGTAGTGGTGTCCAGGGCCATGGCCCTGGCCCTCGAGGGCACAGGGCTTTGCTTGGCTGTCTTCGAACGTGGGCTCATAGTGTTAGAGCATGCAGGGAAGAGTGTGAGCCCTCCTGGTGGTAGTACCATGCACCCCGGGTTCTTCACTGTGTGAGGAGCAGAAGGCAGAGAAAGCAGGGCTGGAAGTAAGACCAGGCCAAAATTCTCAGGGCTGCCCTTGAAGGACTGTGTTTGCCAGCTAGGGCCTGTATCTCAAATATTCCACAGCCTCCCAAAGCAGGGCCACCAAGTGGGAACCCAATCTTTAGACTTGAACCTGTGTAGGCTATTTCACACTTTACCCATTAGAAGAATGAAATATCTTTCATAAATTACTCATTATTCAGTTGTACTGAATACTTACCATGCATCTCAACAAAAAGAAAAACATACAAGATACTAAATTTTCACAGCACATGGTCCCGTTTTTCCAATAACAAGCTATCTTTGAAAATTACTTTTGTACACCTTATTTTGCTAATTGATATGTCACAATGACAGTTGGGAGTCTTTAAAAGTAAAAGGACTCATTTGTGGATATTTTTCTCTTGTAATCTTATCAATGGTTGTTTCATTGATACTAGTCGTGAAAGTAGTAGTTATTTTTACTTCTGTGTTATCCTATCATTATTTTCCTATCATTATTTTAATTGATATGTAATATTCACATATATAGGATACAGTGTACATGTGTAGCATGTGTAATGATCTGGCATTTCTTCATTCTTGAATATGTACCATTTTCTATGTTTAGAACTTTCGAATGTTTTTCTTTTTTATGAAATATATTGTAAGATGCATGATAGGATATGACATGTCACCCTACCTTGCTGTGGAACATTAGGTTATATTTTGGTACTGATTATCCTGGCTACTTCCCACACTACCACTGCCATTCTCCGCCTCTTATGATCATTACTCAGCTCTCTATGCATAAAACCCACCATTTCTAACTTTGGCATGTGAGGGGAAACATGAGTTACTTACCTTTCTGGGCCTAATAGAACATTTCTCAGTCATAGGTGTTTGTAAAATCCAACATGAAGTTCTATAGCTTCCAAATGCCTACTTTATAGAATTCATTGAAAAGTATAGACTTTGGGTCTTGTTAATTTTGACGTGTGAGTTTTTTCATTTGCAACCTTTTTTAAATACTAAAACATAAATTAAAATTTTTCACTCTTAAAAGTATAGAAGAATTGAACTTTAACCCCTTATCAACAATGCCAATACCATGATAAAATACAAAAACAAGCAAATATTAAGAGAATGAAAAATAATAATATGTACCACTTCACTGACTTGTTTTGAAAACCTTGTTCACACTGCTTCTTTCTTCATTATTATTTTTACCTGATAAAATCCTTTTGGCCTTTTCTCTCTGCAAAAAATGCCTTGGCTCCTTCCCTGCTTGGTGTTAAGAGCAAACAGCAGCTGCAGTCAAAGTTCACCTCATGTTTTGTATGTCCTTTTCTACTTGAAAAGACTTCAAATGCCAGCCCTCAAAGGTTTACAGCTGACCCAAACCTTCTGTATGTCTCCCACATCCAGGACCCAAGTCTAAAATAGAAGCAGAAAGAAAGTAGGCCTTCTGGCTGGGGCTATATTAACAAATAATTATATTCAATTGCGGTAGAGCACTGTGCACCACAACAGGCACAAGTGCAATAATTCTTTTTTGATTACCACAGGAGCTCTGAGATTTAGGCTCTTTATTTATTGAATTTGGTTTGCTAGTGTTTTTTATTTATTTATTTTTTTAAATGAAAACAATCTTTTTTTTCATGATACATACCAATCCAAGTTCCCACTTCCTTCCCTCTCATTCCTTCCACTGAAAATCGCCTTACAAATGAAAATACAAAGTTTCTAAAACAGCTAGAAGAGTTAAAATTTACATCCTAATCATTCTGACACCAAATTGCCCATCCAGTCAATCTGTCTATATATTGCAGTCTGTATAAAATTATTATTGATATTTATTGTTTTGTACCTAATTGGTAGTATAATTTGTCTCTTTATTGATTTCATGGTTACCTTATTCTTTTCGATTTATTTATTATTGAGTTTATATGAGTGTTCTACCTGCATGTATGCCTTTATTCCAGAAGAGGGCATCAGATTGCATTCTAGATGGTTATAGGTAGTTGCTGAGAACTGAATTCATGACCTCTGGAAGAGCAGTCAGTGCTCTTAACCTCTGAGCCATCTCTCCAGCCTGGTTGTTTTATTTTTAAAAACCTATATTATATTACCAAGACAAACTAACCAACAATGTTAGTAGTGTGCCATATATTTTTGTCAGTAGAGTGCTCTTAATATACGGATCTTTCAGTATGCCATGGAATATTTATGGAAAAGAGCAACAGCATGATAGGTAACTACTTTCAGCTCCAGTTGTCAGTCTAAGAAAGTCATGACTCTGGAAAAGGTTGACAGGGCAAACAACTATTTGGGGCTTTGCTTTGTGCTTGTGCCTTTAGCCATTGTTGGCTACTTCATGGCTGTTTGTGTCATTATGTGGGAGACAGGGAGAGATGAAACTCTCTGTACTCTAAGGGCTGTCTAAGATTTGCCTTTGTTGTTTTTAAGTAACAGGCGAAAAATGAGAAATCTACTGCATTTGAAATATATAAATATACTTGATATTAGAAAGAATGTTGGTGGAGCATGGTGGCTGTCCTTGTACTTCTGATTGTTGTTTATAGACAGATTGTAAATGTTTGTTAAAGAGATGTAATAAACTATTTTACCCATTTACTGACTTGTTCTTTTTAATTAAAAGCTCCAAGGAAGCCAATTCGTTAGATATTAAGTAGTTCACAAAATTTAAGGCACTTAACCATGAAACAAACCATCTGGAAGCTTTTGAATCTTAAGCAGCAAGAAAGAAAGCAGAGTGGGGATGAAATCTGAAAACAGACCATGTCTCCAGTCTCTGGACGGAAGTCCACTAAACAGAGTACCACATTTGTCTCCTTTACAGAAATGCCTCCTGCATCATGAGCATTGGAAAATTGTAGAACTGGTTAGTAAAGATGACATCACACTTTGCTGGAAGTTTCATAGATTTAGTAATTGGTTCCATTGCCTCATAACTCCAGATATTTCTGAACTTCCTGTTGTCTCATCAATAAAATTTTGAAGATTTATGTCGGAAATCTCACATAAAGCATATTCCATAATTTTCTGTAACATTGGCCGTGTCAAGGTCCGAAATTTTAGCCATGTCATTGAAGTTTATTTCAGTGGCTCCTTTTAGGGTTATACCATTCACTTTTGTGCAAAGCATTATTAAATACTTTGGAGTTCGTTTTTATAATTTGTTAATAATTTATATATTGAATAATTAACAGGCTATTTCTAATCATACCATTATGATAAATTAAATATTTATGTGTATCAAATGCAGTAGCTTTCTCATTTTTAGCTCACTATTTAAAAATACAATAAGGGGGACATCTCGGGCCGCTAAAGGGTACAGAGAGCTTCATCTCTCTCCATCTCACTGTAGTGACACAGGGCAGACATGAAGTCACAGTAATCACCTGTCTCCATGAGAAATTTGTTCTCAGAACTCTGGCTGGTTTTTGTTGTTGATGTTTGTTTGCTTTTATTTAACAAGGCTCCCTACCATTCGATTTTTTTTTTACCTGATATTTTTCTCTGACTTATCTGTACCACAGCTAACAACCACAGTCAATGCTTCTACATCCACAGACGGTTGATGCTTTACAATGTCCTGACGTCCACCAGAGCCTTGGCCTCCAGCTATTTGTTATCTGTTTCATTTCTTTGACACATTTTTTGAAGCTCCGTTTATGTCAAATTTTTACTTCCGAATGGAGCTTCTAAACGCTGTATCTTTAGTCCTTTTCAACTTCACTTTCTAATGGGTTCTACTACTCTTCATGCCAGCGTGTTTGTCTTCAGCAGAGCTAACATGCTCTCTTCCTTTCATGACATCATTGTCACTGTGGATAAAAGGTCCTGGAAAGAACGACATATCACACTCAGCCTTCTGCAAGGCTGACTCACTGATGAGAACTTCAATGATGCAGAGAAAGTAGGCTGTCTCAAGTCAAGAGCCAAATTATCCTGGGCTTCTTTTGGCTCTCTCAATAGCCCAGAACTTTCCTCCACTGGGTGTGACCTAACATCTCTGGAACTATTCGGTAAAATCTTTGCAATGTGCAAACAGGACTTCTAGTAATCAAAGAGAAGAATAAGGAAAGAGGGCAGGCATGGCTTTTAACCTGCCTCGTGATGTTCCCACCAGCTACTGAAAAGTCATCTATGACTGCTGCTGTTCTATTACTATAGACATTCATCAAGTAATTATGATGTCGGAACACAGAGTTTGGGATAAACTGTTCCGTGTTCTTGGGACACAATCACTCATACTTTGCTCCACAGCACATTTTCTCTCATCCCTATGAGGGGAGAATTGTGATTTCTGTTTGTTTTATCTCCACCATTAAATATAGTAACAGCCATTTCCAGATTTCTTCAGAAATTCTAATTTCTATAAAACTGCTGATGAAAATAGCAAGAAAATACTTATGAAAATTACTGATATCTAGTCATCTAGATTTTTCTACTAGACTGTCCCACCAAACACTAACTTCTTATTGCTGTACATTGATGTCTTGATAATTAGATAGTACTTTAAAATTGATAAAATATCACAACTCATTAAGGATAAAAAAAACTTCCAATTTTGAAAACTTGTAGGAAAAATACTGTCACTTTAAGGATACTCTGTTCTACCAAGATCACATATGAGCGAAGATTAACTTCATATGTTTTCCTCATAGCTCTTGACTAATAGAATTCTGAGTGCCCAGCTGGCTATGTGTCTCCAAACAGCTAATAGTAAAACTAATAGCATTTTGCTGGATACTCTCTCACTAAAGGACGATTCTGTGAAGCCCAAGAAATCATGTTCTTTGTTCATTCCATTTTATGAAATTCCCAGGCCACGTGTTTTTATGTGACAACCAGATCATGAAATAACTCACAGTCATCTGTAAGGTTTCTACACTCTAAGGGGAGAGGCAAGTGGGGATTATAGTCCTGTAGGTCTGAATGGTCATGAGTTGGAAGTATCTGAAGACATTTTGCCATAACAGTTTAAAACTAGAGGGTTTTATCTGGTGCAACAGTCTGGACCAAATTCAGCTCATGGAGAAACCTTCGCTATAACCCCAGGGGAGAGGAATCATCTCTGGATGCAACAGAAAAGACCAGGGTTAACACACACAGAAGGTCCTGTGCCTTAGATCTGATTTCTCTGTTTCAGAATAGTCAGATTGGTACAGGTTTAGGAAGAGGACCCTACATGCCACTGATTCACACAAAGTTTAAATAATGCACCAGAAATATACAGTTGTTCTAAGTTCTAAGTTTAATCACAAAGACATCTCATTTGAAATGGGGATAGTATCTGGTCTATTAATTAGAAATCAAAAATGTTCAAATTTTTCGTCAAATAGTTAGAGGGTCTACTCTGTATCAGTCACAAGTTGTGACCCTTGGAGTTCACTGCAGAAACACTGTCCTTTTTTACTCTATTGTTTACTTGGGGAGAGAAACAGTAGAATGAAGGAAAAAAAAAAGACTCTCTTGGGCAACAAACATATGCAGCATAATAGTGGAATGGGAGACAGTCTTAGAGGGATGAAGGAAGGAAGTGGCTACAGTGGCCAGAGAAGTTCTTTCTGCAAAGGTGTCTCTAGAACGGATACTGACTAATGAAAGCATGGAACTGTGGGAAGGACCACAGCACAGATATAAACAAATGATTCAAAGATCCCAAAACAAGGCTGAGCAACTCTGTAGTGTGAAATTTACCCTGTCATTGTAAATTGTACCGACCATATATGCCATACATCAAAACAGACAGTCCCTGCTGGAACACTGCTGTGGATTCATGACAGGACAGATTCTAGCCCCGTGTTCTAAATGCTCAGTCCTTAGTTTGTGACATGGTTTTGAAGGCTGTGGAGTAGAGCACTTCTAGCGGAAGTGGGTGATTAGAGCTGAGACTTTAAAGTCGGTGCCTCGACCCTGACTCCAATCCAATTCTCCACTTCCTGTCTGCCACCATGTGAACGGTCTCCACCAGGAACTCTACACTTTCCAGGGTGGACTGAAGCTTCCCTGAAAGTGGGAGTCAAGGCATCAATTTCTTCCTTGAGGTAGCTTTTGTTCGGCATTCCATCACTGAAATGTGAAAGAAACTAATATAACATCTTTTCATCCTAAAATCCACACAAGTCCCATTATGAGAAGGGCAACAAGTCCCTTCTCAAGAATTGCCACTTTCCGTTGAATGTCCAAAAAGTAATGCAGAAAGGGCTGTGGTGAATGATTTTCTAGATGCTCATTAGTAGCACCAGGAAGACTCACTATTCTCAGTTGATGACGATGCCTGTTTCCCTCTGTTGTGTGATCCACCCCTGTTCTCCTGAATTCTTAAGCGTCTGTAGTCTTCAAGTGACTTAATCTGCTCAATCCATTCTCTGCTTATAGCTTGATCTTTCTTGGTCGCAAAGACTTTTGGGCAAAATATTCTACCATTTTTTTTATTTTCTTAAAATGGATTATGAAGGTGAAAATTACTAAAGGTGAAAAATATAATACTAGAAATTTAAACTGACTCCAGGCTTAACTTTTAAAAATAGAATTCAATCAGAAAATTCTAAAATATATTTTAAATTTCAGATTGTGGGAGATGACTGAGAACTCCCTCGTTTTAAGTGTCTGTGTAACTTTGATGTTCATGTCAAACTAAGCATTGTCTGATAAACATGAACAGTTGACATATAAAGACCTTAAAATCTAATGGAGAAGATGGTTCAAAAGAAACTTGTGAATTATTCTGAGCAAACTTATTTATATATTCAAGTTTTGGTTGCTTTTTGTGAGGACATATTTTGAGAAGCAGCATAGATTAAGCATTGAATAAAGGAAATAGATGTGACACAAAATTTTTCAAATGTTAATTTATTATTTATATCTATTCTCCTTTCTCCCACATGAACATATTTTACTCTTCGATAAAGCACTGATGCCTCTAAGAAGGTCCACTGAGAACCACATGATTTGACTGCAGGGCAAGTAACACAAAGAAGAATGACAGAAGCCAAGCACAGGTGCCGTTCGCACTGGGGGACAGCAACACAAATGCTGGGAAAGGGAAAGGAAGAAGACACCCAGGTCCAGTACCCTGGCCAATGACAGGCACCCTAGAGGATGAAAGACCATCCCTCATCATTTGTATTTATTTATGTTTTGTTGTTATGGGTGTGTCTTTTACTCAAATAATTTATTTCTGTTTTTATTTCACACACCTTTTTAAAAAATGTTTTTCTCATTTCTTTCTTCTGTAACTATGGGACTTTTATAAATTCTATTTTAGTCAAACTGATCAAGTTACACAGAACAGTTTAAGCACTTAGATGTATAATTTATAATTTTTACTTCTGTTCTCTTCTTCACTGTTAATTTTCCTTGTTATTTAAGATCGAATTTTGGGGACTAGCTTTGTCCAGCTGTCACTACCTCCCCTTTTCTCTCTTTTCTTTTGCCTTCATTCCTATCCTCTCCTCTCTCCTCCCCCACTCTCACCACAGGTCACAGGTTGACCTGGGCCTGGGGACTTTTGGCCTCAGCCTTCCATGTGGTGGAAATGTTTCTGCCAGACAACAGCGTTTCATTCTTTCCTTCTTCTCTCACTCCACCTTTAGCTGAGATGCTTCATTTCTTTGTTTTCTATTTTTGTCTCCTTCCTAGTTCATGTTGCTTTGTTTCTGTGCTTATTTTCTTTCCATTCTTACCCTAGGTAACTAACATTTCAGTACAAGCCATACTGTCCTTCTTCCTGTATTCCCCCCAAATTATTGGAGTTAAGAGGTATTCATTGTCACCTTGATATCTGGAAGCAAATAACTTGTTTTTCTAGTTATGTCTGTGAATATATTCCATACAAAGGGAGTATCCTCCTCTGCATGGACAGAAAGTTCTGGGGGCAGTTATGGCACAGCATCTGGAGGGCAAATATGCTTTTCATGCGGCTGCCTTCATTTCTTGATGACACTGACACCCAGTTTCTTCTGCCTTCCAGCACATAGAGAATCCTTTAGGACATCAGCATCAGATTACAATTGTAGAACTATCCAGCTTCATGGAATGAGCATCCACTGGGTTCCTGGTCTCTCCAGTGTACAAACTGTCATTGTTGGACTATCTATATCAAATCACACAAAGCAATCAAGTAAATTCATACTGTAATATGTATCATATATCTATATATCCATTTGGTATAGAATAGATATGTATCCTGTAATACATATCATATATCAATATATATGGGTATATATCCTATATCTATATATCTATATATGTATCTATCTATCTATATCTATCTGTCTATATATATATACATATATATAAAGAGAGAGAGAATGGACACATGTACACAAACACACACACATACGCGCGCGCACACACACATATCCAATGGATACAGAGAGTAGTTGGGTGTGGTGTCACATACCTTTAATCCCAGCACTTGGGAATCAGAGGCAGTCAGATCTCTATGAGTTCAAGGACAGCCTGGTCGACAAAGTGAGTTTCAGAACAGTCAAAATTAAAAAAAAAAACACACAGAGAAACCCTGTCTCAAAAAAAAACCATAAAAATAAAAGAAGTAGAGTTTAAAATGAAGCCATATAAAGATGGAAAATACACAGAGAATGTGGATACTGTATGTTATTGTGTTGTCTTTGAATTGTTTGACTGTTGACGAAAAAGTAACAGCTGCTGAAAGATATTTCATTACAAATGCTGCTGGATTAATCCTACATATATATTTTGACAATGCCTTGACTTTAAATTTTAAGTCAAAAATATGTTACTTTGGAGAAGAGGTTTTGCTTTTGTTTTCATGGGAAATGAGAAGCTGTGGATTCATTCTGGGTTTAAATAAAATCATGTTTGAACAAAGAAGACACTCTGAGAAATCTCCACTAGAAGAGGATGGCCCAGATGATCCAACATTTCAGAGAACCTCTGTAGGAGTTTCCTCTGAGTTCTACATCCAGAACAGCCTTAAGATTGCTGTCTGAGATAATCAAGCCTCACAGAATATTCCAGTCAGGATTTGATAATAATCCTAAATTTTCTTTAAGGCCACATAAGATTATTAGCAGCCCCAGTCAGCAGGAAGTAGCCTAGAAAACTATGCCTGTTTTCTGAAAAATGGAT